TGACATATGTGGGTCAGAATGTTTCCTTTTGATTTGACATTCTCCGATGTTATGGCTACTTTGAGACTTTATGTCAGTTCCTCCTTTGAAGTCAACGAGTTTGTTTTGGAGAGTAAGATATAAAAAAGTACAAGAACTAAAAGGAAGACTTTTCAGTTGCAATTATATCTGTGAAATTTTCTGTAGAGTTACAGCTATGTCTGCCAACTCTCTCTTTCCTTTGGGTATTGACTAATATTAAGCATCACATTTATGAGGCTCAGTGTTTCGCGAAGGTGCTTTTTCAGGAGAAGGCGGTTCCAATATTTAACGCAAATATTGACTCTACTGGTTTTATTAATATGTGGTTTTAAACTGTTCTGTTCAAATATATAGGGTGAAAAAAAATAATTAAAGGCTTACAGGTCCTATTTCAACACATGTTTTTTTTTCAGGGCTACATTCAAGTTTTAGGATGAGCTGGAGGTCATGGAGGGGTCTCAATGGGAAGAATTAGCTTGGAGTCACTTTCACGGGTTCTAGTGGTCTCTAGAGTCGACTCATGGGTAATGTTTAGGGATCAAATAAGGCATCCATCCCTAGGCCTACTTAGAGTACACTTGAACACAAGTCAGTTGACTCAGAGTATGTCCTTCACTCAATAACTGAACAATATTTATCACTCTTGCCATTCCTAGCATGGGTCTCAAACTCAAGTATCAGACAGGGAGATTTCTTAGCTGTTCTGATTTTTGCCCATAGACAATAAACTTCTCCTAGCCTCTTGAAAGTAGATGACAATTAGCAAAAGGCAATTGATTTCTCCTCAGAGTTATACCACCAGGGAGCTGTATTGTGTACTTGGCCATTCAAGAAATGCCTGTGGAGTGGATAGGTTATACTGTGATTCACACTCAGATTCACAATGTCAAGCACAGTTGAGGAATGTTTTCCTTTGTTGTTTGTTGTTTAAGCTTCTGAAAATACAAAAGGAGTCTAAATTTTTTGAGCTGAGAATTCCGGAAGATTCATAACAGATATGCCAAGTTGGCTACAAGTAAAAATTATTCCTATCCAAAATACTAAAGTTCCTAATGTGCTCAGTAGCTATTTCCGACTTTCCTAGCACACAAATACTCATTCAAGGGCATTTGTTGCACATGATAACCCCCCCCCCCCAAATAACTATTTTGCAAAGGAAAATATGTTATGTCACTAAAGAGTTAAGCATATTAGACTCCATCTGAAAAGTAAGGCAGTGCATCTGATTGGAAGAAAAGACAAAGTTTTAAAGAGAGGAAGGTACATTATCTCAACCTTGGAAGGAAAATAGTTCAATTTGACAAATATTTACTCAGCGATTACCATATGCCAGCAAATGCAATGAACTGAGGACTGAAGGACTCAGCAAAGCCCAGTTCCTGCTATCAAAGAGCTTATAGAAAATGGGAGAATTTAGACATGTATACACTGGTGAAGAGAGTTTGATGGTGGAGATGGAAGAGTAGAAAGATCACTTGAATGAAAGTACCGAAGGCATTGAAGTGTGAAGCAAGGGATCCAATTCAAAAAACAGTAATTGGTCTCAGCTTAAAGGAAACCACCTATGAAGAGGGGGCAGCGGGAGATAGGAAACTAGGAAGATAATGTGATCCAACACGAGTAGCTAGTGGAGGATTTTAAGGAGGGACATGATATAGACAGCTCTTTACACAAAGTGTGGTGGGAGGAAGAGCAGGAGATGAGATAGGAGACTATACTTGCAATAAATTTAATGATATGAAGAGCGAATTATAGGAGGTAAAGAGGAAAGGAGGGCACAGATTCATGAGAAGTAGAAGGAATGTAGTTTGACCACTGATTAAGTGAAGGAAGAGGGAGGAGTCAAAGACGACTCAGGTTTTGAACTTGAATGTGTAGGTAGATAGTACCGTTAACAAAAATATAGAAGACATATTTGGGAGCAAGTATAATGATTTCTGTTTTAGATGAATTGTAGAGACCCATTAAAACATTTAGGAGTATAGATGTTTAACAAGCAGTTAAAAGTGGGAGATTGGAATGTGGGAGATAAGTACAGCCTGAGGATACAAGTGTACACATTTTTTGAGAGCAGTATTATCTGTTACACTAAATGCCATGTAAATGCACATAAATAATAGTGATAAACCCTGCAAAAATAGAAGGGACTGCTAAATCAGTAAAATTTCTGGGAGTCTCTATCTGTTATCTTCTCAAACGTGAAGATCAGGCTACTGCAATGTCCAGCTCCCCACTAGTAAGAAAGTGACATAATATTTAATGGGTGTCCCAATTTTAGAAGCATTTAATGACAGTTGGTGCTCTCTTCCAACTCACTTAACAAATGGGACTCAATGGCTAGACGTTTTGCATGAGATCCAGTGCAAGAAAAGACTCTTCAGTTCATCCAGGTCACAGTATAAACAACCCTCGTGCTTGGTTCTTATGACCCTGATTAGATCTATGATGCTCAAGACATCTGTATCAGAACCTGAGGCATTTAGAGTCTGGAGAAAAAAACCCAACAGGAGAATCAAACAGAATTCCTGGAGGTTAAATATAAAACCTTATCCCTTTCATTGAATAATTACATTCTTTTTGAGGAAGAGCTCTTACATATTGGATCCTGGTCGACTGTAGACTCACAAGGGCCCCTGTGATCTGTAGCTGCTTTGCTTTTTATTTGATTGTCTTTTCTAGACTATGAGCTCAGTAAGGACAAGATACTTTGGTTTATTCATTTTTGTATGCCTACCCTAGCAAGGGTAGTTATTAATTGCTCAAAACAGATTAGTTGAAATACCATTCCCTTGGCCCTGCAGTTATTGACATTTATTGATTATTACATTATATTATATTGCATTACATTATATTATATATAATATAAATATATACATACTTATATATAAATTATATATATTATATATAAATTATATATAAATAATATATGTATTTATAATAGATTTCTATTTGTATATTTATAATAGAGAAGTTGTAAAAACATTAATGTTCAACAGTAGAGAAATGGTTAACTAAATTATAGGATGTGGGCATTATAGAATATTATGCACTAAACATCACTAAAACCTGTGATTTTGAAGAACTTCGATGACATGAACCATAAGCAAGGTATAATCCTCAATTTAAAATATAATACATAAAACTGTAAATATAACATGCTTATAATTTTATCTATAAATCCATCTACTTTTTATTATTGGTTTTAGATGTACAAAACAACATAGTGATTAGATATTTATATACCTCATGAAGAGATAACCCCAAGTCTACCATCCATCTGACACCGTACATAGCTATTACAATACCATTGACGATATTCCCTATACTGGACTTTACATTCCATGACTATATATTTTTAAATTATAGCTGACATTCAATATTATTTTATATTAGTTTTAGGTGTATAGTAGAGTGCTTAGACATTTGTATAATTTATGAAGTGATCCCCCCAATAAGTCTAGTATGCATCTGATACTATACATAGTTTTTACAATATTATTGACTATATTTCTCATAGTATACTTCACATCCCTGTGAATATTAACAATTTGTACTTCCTAATCCATTCACCATTCTCACCATCTATTTTTGAAGGAAATAAATATGACAAGAACTCCTCTTAGAGTGAGGATTATTTTTTTTAAGAAAAATATGAGGTGTGATAAAAAACTATAATGAATGTTTAAATAAAAAAATTTAGTACAGTAACAGATACATTGCCATTAATCCCCCTCAAAATACTCCACCTCGCTTCGAACACACTTATCCCATCATTCTTGCCCCTTTCGGAAGCAGTTCTGGAAGTCCTCTTTCCTGAGTCTCTTTACTTCATCCTCCATCATGACAATGCTTCATGTCACATGTTGCTTCTGGTATGGCAATTTCTGTCAGATAAAAACATTACCGTGTGTCCTCATCCACCTTATTCACTGGATCTAGCACCGTGTGATTTCTGGCTCTTCCCCGAAGTCAAATGATTCAGAACATCAAGGCAGCCATGACAGTGCAACTAAAGACCTTCCTGAAAGAGGACTTCCAGAACTGCTTCAGAAAGTGGCAAGAGTGATGGTATAAGAGTGTTCGAAGTGAGGAGGAGTATTTTGAGGGGGATTAATGGCAATGTGTCTTTTACTGTAATAAATTTTTTTATTTAAACATTCACCATATTGTTTGAATGTCTGTTGTTTGAATGTATACACCTCCTATGTTGAGCCCATTCAAATAGAAAATAAAACTCAGAGATCATGTGTTAGTAGGAAAAATGAAGCAGAGTGAAAAGAGTGACACAAGGTGCATTCTATAAAAGGTTGTCATGGAAGGCTTCTCTGATAGGTAACATCTGAGCAAAAACTTGGGGTATGGGGGATGTACCCCATATGTTTGTTTGCTGGGAGGAATGATCCAGTAAAGAGGGAACACTTGGTGACAGAGTAGAGAGAAGGGACAGCCACAGAAGCCATGTCCTTGACGAGACTCAGATGATTGTTTAGCCTTAGTTATGAGCACAAATGATTCCTTCATTCCAAAGGCAGGGCACGTGGGTGCTATTGCAGATAGGTTAATAGGTATCATGAAAGTTCTTTTCTGGTTGTTTCCATTTTCTTAGTACAGTAGAAGCCAGGTCATCAAATGAGAGTAAGAAGAGATACAAAAAGAGGAGATGTATGACACAATCATGTAAGAGAATGGTAAAGTGAATCAACATCTAATTAACTAAATATATATATGTAACAATTTTTATTTTGTATATTTTGGGTGAATTTATAATTTATTCAGAAGTACAGGTTTTTCCATCTTCACATCTTTTCCATCTCCTTATACCAAAGTGGTTAATCCAGTGGCAAGCTGACAGAAAATAAAAGTAAAGAGAATTTGCTCAGTTCTAGAGCTCCCAAAGCGAACTTTCATAGCTAACCTATTTCTTTATTCTCCTGCTGATGAAATAATTGCATTTTGTTTTTCTCACTTCTCCTCAACAGGGTGGTGGAGATTGTCCAGAAATGAGTATTGGAGCTATAAAAATTGCCTTGGAAATTTCTCTTCCTGGTTCTTTCATCTATGTTTTCACTGACGCAAGGTCCAAGGACTATCGGCTCACGCATGAGGTGCTGCAGCTGATCCAGCAGAAACAATCACAAGTGAGTAGGAATCAGCCCTGCCCCCCCAGATGTCCCACCTGCACACAGCTGCCAGGAGTACCACATATGAGAGGTTGTCTCTGCTCTGTGACTATACTATGAGTGGCAAATGTCAATAATTACAACTATTGATCCATAGATGTGTACCCCAATATGTGTGTGTCATTTCATTTAAACATGTTACATGGATGTACAATATTTGTACATAGCATGTGAGTTTCTTGTTTTTTAATACAGAGAAGAAATGATTGGGGTTTAATGAAGGTGCTCGTTGCCATTGTATCCTTATAACTAACAAACACGTAGACCTAACAAAAAGGCCTGTGTTTGAAATACCACCTCCTATGTGGAATTTTGTCAGAGTCAGAAATACCCATTGTATCAGTTAGCTATTGCCACATAAACACGCTTTCTGACTCTCAATAGCTTAAAACAATAGCATTTATTTCTCACAAGTGAGCTACGCTTACTTGTATGTCTGAAGGTAGTTTGAGTTTGGCTTATGAAGGTGTATCTCTGGGGTGACTTGCGTCACAGTCTGAGACTAGTAGGCTAATTGAGGTATGTTCTTCACATGGACAAGGCAGAAACGCTGGAGATCCAGTGGCAATACACAACGCCTGGAGTGTAGGCTCTGAACTGGTAGAATACCCTTGTTGCTGAATGCTGCTGACCAAAGCAAGCCATATGCCCATGCTTTGATTCAAAGGTGACAAAATAAGCACCACCTGTGTAGTGAGAGGAACTTCTACATCTTTTTCAAACTGCATGGATATAGGGAGGAATATATTCCTATATGATATATATCTATCGTAAGTATTATATATGTTCTACATGCCTGGTAGTATGTTAACACATAATAGGTGATCAATAAATGTATATTTACTTCTGAAAACCCTTTAAACTGTCTTCCTTTTTACTCATAGGTGGTATTTGTGCTCACTGGAGATTGTGATGACAGGAGCCATATTGGCTATAAAGTGTATGAAGAAATTGCCTCGACAAGCTCTGGGCAAGTGTTCCACCTGGACAAAAAGCAAGTTAATGAGGTCAGTTGAATCAAGTGTGTCTACTTTATTTCTAGCTATCTTAGCAAAATCAGCTTGGCCAATCTAATTGTGATAGACTTGATTTCAAAAACAATTTGAACAAAAACAAAATTTTTTTCCCCTTGTCCACAGGTCCATAGAGTCATTAGACCAATGTGAAGAAGCATAGATTTATCCAGTATTAATTTGTAGATCGTATTATACTATACTGACAAATTATTTAGATTTAAGCATAAAGGTGTTTATCTTTATTTAGTGAGACTTGAACAATTTTGTAGTTCTTGTTGTTTAGTAAGGTGACTTTGTGTTTCTGATGCACAGGTTTTGGAATGGGTAAAATGTAGCTTGACTATTTACTGAAGTAGAATGTATGAAAATTATTGAGCAGAATTCTAAAGAAGTTTGATCTCTCAGATTAAAAGTAAAAAACTAAGTAACTACATAGTTATCTAAAAACCTTTATGATAATAAAATCTATAACTTATATACTATGAAAATCTTGGGGATTTCTAAAAGTGGTAGAAATATGTCTGTCAAGATTCTTTTTTCTCTCTCTTTTCTTACCTTGCCTTGGCCTCACTTATCTATTTACTTGGCTCCCGCTTAAGTTTCTAGGAACATGCCAATACAAAGATAAGGTTTTATGTGGCCGTAATTCACACTGGATTCATGTATCTATATACGTTCTGTTAATTTCATGATATACTCCTTTGTGTCTCTAATGCTATGGTTCAGTAGTCCTCTTATAACTAAAGAGCTCTTATTACATCATGATGGTACCAGTAGGACATTGCAAGTTCTAGAATAAACAATCCAGGAAAGTATTTTTTATCAACAGACAATATATAAACCTGGAAGATGACTTTAGTCTTACATTTTTTTTTTCTTGGAAGAAACAGCCTTAGAGGGGGTTGTGGCTTTGGGTCCATACTGTGTCTACTGTCGTAATTCAAAAATGCCTGACAATTACAGGGGGAAGCCCTTGGCAGTCATTTGTATAAACATTCACATGAGAATTTGGGAGCCTGGGAAGAAAAAGTTGGGGGAAGAGTACAGGACTCTCTCAGGAACTGAGTTTCCTGTCCCACCCCACAGACTGTGCTTGACCCTCGTGAGGGAGAGGCCACTGGTTGAAATGGTTTTTAACCTGGAATTGTGATAGACCCTGGGGGACAGTCAATATTATCAGTATCAAGTAGGGCACGAGTTAGGAAGAGCATCATTCTCTCCTGCATCAGTCAGGACACTACCCACTTAGGGTGTGGTGAGCCTTTGAGTTGGAAGTGACAGTGGTGTTCAGTACAGACAGATGGGGCATCGTTGCCAGCAGAGGACGTCATGCCCAGTGGACATGGTGGTTCCCAGCAGAAAGTACCGGAGAAGAGAAGAGGCGAAAAGACACATGGCTGGCACCCAGGGCATTTGAAAGAACAGCTGTTTGACTTTGTTTGTGAATAGTCAGGCACAACATGCAGATTCCCAGTACAAATTAGGTGAAACTGTTAGGGAGAACCATAGACTTATTATTAAAAGTTGGGCCACAGAGCTAGAAAATAACATGGTATGTTCTATGAATGTAACTCCATTTGTATCCTTGTACCCAGGGAAATTGACTTCCACAAAATTGAAAATACCATTGCCTTAAACAGACAAAATAAGCCATACAGAAGTACACACTTTATTTACTAAATAAAGAGCATGATGCATAATTTTGGGGGTCCTAATAATTTTTAACAATTTTGATAATTACCAAATAATTTAGAAGAATTACAATTTATAAAAATGTATGTATATTGCAGAAAATTTTATATAGATACATAACAGAATTTCAGCCCCTGGCTTGTGAATCATGTTTCTCTCCCACATCATCAACTGACATTCTGATCTTTAAATTTAGCTTGTGCAGAATAGGACTAGAGAGAAGTATTGTTAAAATTGTCCATTTTTATAAACTGGAGTTTGATGCCAATGGGGATGGGCCTTAATTTATCTCTCAATCATAGCAATTTTATCCCCTTCGCCAATGAGTTCAGGAAAGGTCATGACCTCTACTTTGGGCCATTTAGACCCAAGGGGAATTTAGCTAAGGATGTCTTGGACAAGTACTCTTGTTCTAGCTATTGTCCTACATGGATGCGAACCCCAGATTTGATGTAGGCATCTTCATACAAGCCTGAGATGAAACAAATATAAAGAAGAATAAAAAGCTAAGAAAACCCAAAACCTTTGGATTAAGTCAACGCTCAAATCCACCTTACGACTTGGCCTCACATTAAAAAAGTGATCTTTTGGTTTAAGCCAGTTAGAGTTCAGTATTGAGTTACCTAAAGATAAATGCATCCTAGTTGATAAAAATTCTGTATTTCTTTGTGACATAGTGTCTGTGAACCCCAGTTTCCTTCTTTCTAAATTGGGGATAATGGAATTATCGATTTCAGAAAGTTCTTGTAAGATGAAATGAGATAACGTGTGTAAAATGTCCCACACAAAGTGTAGTGCAGGATGAGGGCCAAATAAATATTATTACAATCCTTGTAATGTTGTTATTTTGGTTTCGAAGTGGGGAAATTGGGCCAGTGTGTTTGTTAGAAACCAGATGGCCACTTGTTGCTAGGAAATGAATTTGGGTGGGAGAGTCCAGGAAGAGTCTGGGGTTTCTTTTTTCTTGTGTAAGGAAAAGATATTGTGAAGGGGCTACTGGAACTGTGTAAGCCAATACGTTCCATGTAGAAAGCTACCACGGTGGAAGGGTTTTGCTCACAAAAAGCAGAATGGCATGAAAATTGGATGTGCAAAAACTTTAGTATGTAATTAAGCCATTTTTCTTTCTCGTTCCAAATTCTCCTATTATATAAACATTATAAATTCTAGGAACACTAGATGCTACAGTGACAGTTGTACATTTCATAGACACAAGAACTGATGGGAAGCCACACATGTGCTGAGTCCTTTCATTTTTCTCAAGAGCATTTTTTTCATCTGCTGTTTTTAAAAGAAACTGTAGAGTATTATGCTTTACCCTCTTGACCTAGCTCATCAATTTCCTAACCTAGTGGGGTATATTTCATATCAACTCTTTCTTGAGCTAATTTGAAGTTTTTTTCTTCCTGTTTTTTTTT